AAAAATCAAAGCTAAACGCAAAGAGAAATTGAAAATCTTTATAAAATAGCTTTTATTAAGTGTCAATCAAATATTTATCGTTATAGAAATCGAATTTTATCTTAAAAAAGAAATAACAAATAATTTTTTCTTTAATACCTAGAGACTCCCCTCCCTGATTAAAATAATTGTTCTGTGTTCTACGCGGGTTCTCCATTGCATTCGAAGCAATGACCGACTTCACGAAGACTTCAGAAGGTCGTTGAAGCGACGTTCAAGTCCAAAGTATCTTAGGAGGAACCATTGCAAAAAATCCTTTTTCTTAGCTCTTGTTTCCTATAAGCTTTGAGGTATCTACAACATCACTGAAAGAGCTAGAGCGGCTTAGCTCCACGTATTCCAATAGAGTTAAAGCGTTTGTTATTTTTGGTAGTGACAACAGTCGTAGTTCATCCTTTGTCGCATTTTCGGCAATAAGCTGCAAGCATGCTCGACGATACAACACGTTGACGTTATGTAACAGGTCGGTTACACATTTACTAGCTTTGACCTTACAACGAGAGCTAGAACGGTGACTGGGTTTTTTCGCGTAATGTCTTGATAGCGACTGTTTATGTTGAAACGACTCAAAACAAAATTCCATCGTGAAAAAAGTTCGACAAAATTCCCTTCTGAAAAACACGTGTGTATTTAAGGTGGAAAATGTTTGATATGAGCATTCAATTCTTAAAGGTTTAATTCTATAATCATTTTGTTTAGTTATGTAAATAAATTTAACACGACTTGTACTGTTTGTCTGAGTGAAAGGAGAGCTGCGGGTTTTCCCTTTCCTTCATTTACACTTTCAAATATGACCGCTTAACAAAAATGCACGGGCTCACTGGCTTAYAACMWTKGCGAATTCATATGCAGGCCTGGTCGCAAATCAATCACCCAGATCAATCGTTTACGCACAAACCCACGAATCCGTCAATAAATCAATCCGTCAACCAATCAATCCATCAATCAATCTACCAACCAATCAATCAATCAATCAATCAATCAACTAGCCAAGCAATAAATCAATCAATCATTCATTTTCCTTCATTCATTTAATCAATCAATCAATCAATCAATCAATCAATCAGTCAATCAATCAATCATTCTTTTCCTTCATTCATTTAATCGATTGATCAATCAAACTGCCTGTCATGACATCAGAGCTTAACAGCTCTATCGTACAATATGGCGCACCTTATGACCAAAAAATGTATATTGGCTATATTGATCCACGAGGCATTTGGCCTTTTCTTTAAAGTTGGCATCAGCGGAAGCGGACCACCAGTCGCGCAGATTCCCATGCTTGTCATACTGCCGACCTGGAATTCAATGATAGATTTCATCAATACGCGCATATTGAATGCCGGTATACTCCAAGTTATGAAGAAGTAACTAGTGAGACCTGCTGAGATCGCAGAATTTTTTTTCTGACCAAAGCCTGTAACAAAAACGGACAGCTTGTTGTGCGACATTGTAGGGTTGAAGACGATGCTTTTGATTTAGGCCAAATTAGACGGCACCATTTTTGCCTACAACCGTCTTATGCAACGTAGGAAAAAGTCGCGCTCTTTAAATGTTGTAAATTTAATGTAAATATGATGTGAGTGTCCAAAATTCTGTAAATTTGATGTAAACGATTTCCATTAAAAATTTACAGAATTTTGGACACTTACATCATATTTACATCAAATTTACAACCTTTAAAGCGCGCAATTTTTTCCAGTGAGCTCGCGTAAGTCATCATCACAACATGCCTAACTGAGGGATTTACTGAAAACAACCGCTTTAATATCCTTTCCACAGGTTGTAGCCATGCTTCAATATGACTTACGAAGGTTGCATGCGATGGTTGTATCCGACCAAAAGGGTAATTCAATTCTTTATGGAGCAAAAACATATGCAGCAAGTTGGAACAAATGCGCGCCGATTGGATGGAAGAATCAAGATCGCGACTATCAAAATGTTGCACGACGATAAGAGTGATGTGCTATAAAAAGCGAGCAAAAAAACAGCAAACTTATCGCAGGAAAACCAAAATCCAGTTTAAGACCACACAGGCCATAAAACTATATTCGGCAGCAAGTACCTGATGAATCAAGTGTAATGTGCTATAAAAAGCGAGCAAAAAAAACCCAGCAAATTTATCGCAGGAAACCCAAAATCCAGTTTAAGACCACATAGGCCATAAAACTATATTCGGCAGCAAGTACCTGATGAATCAAGTGTAATGTGCTATAAAAAGCGAGCAAAAAAAACCCAGCAAATTTATCGCAGGAAACCCAAAATCCAGTTTAAGACCACATAGGCCATAAAACTATATTCGGCAGCAAGTACCTGATGAATCAAGTGTGATGTGCTATAAAAAGCGAGCAAAAAAACCCAGCAAATTTATCGCAGGAAACCCAAAATTTAGTTTAAGACCACGCAGGCCATAAAATTATATTCGGCAGCAAGTACCTGATGAATCAAGTGTGATGTGCTATAAAAAGCGAGCAAAAAAACCCAGCAAATTTATCGCAGGAAACCCAAAATTCAGTTTAAGACCACACAGGGCATAAAACTATATTCGACCGCAAGTACCTGATGAATCAAACCCGTGAGTTAGCTCGTGTCCAATCACCATTCCTATTGCCCCGTACTGCATGTATCTAACAAAACAATTATAGTAATTTCTTTATGAGAAATTTCAA